AATGAAAACAAATAACAATAATTTATTTCTAGTAGTAATAATATTAAATGTACATGTTTTATAATAAAATTATTAATCAATGTAATCATAACATAGTTATTGGTTGTGCTTAGATATAATATATGTGTGTAGAAGTAAGCTATTTATAAAACAGAACAAAAAATAAAATAAACATTAACGCTACCAGAATTCCCATGAAGTTTATTTATTCTCTATTTGTTTAGTTCACCACTTAACAGTTAAAAACCAATTACCTATAGAATGGGATGAATACAGAAAAAATACATTTTATTCGTAAGATATATCATACACATTTTCGGGCAAAAAATGTTCAGTTTCATTTTACTGTCTATATTAGAGCATTTTAAAATTATCACACAAAAACTTACATACTACTAATATATACACAATAGATACTATATACACATACAAGAAATAATATAAAATATAGTAGGTACCTAACTATTCGTAATAAACATATTTATTAACTTTACAAGCAGAACACAATAGCTTATTTTGCTTCAACTGACTGATTTTGTTGAAACTTGCTGCCAATATCAACATATGCAATATATGTTTGGCCAGTCCATTCCACCCTTTGCATAATTGCCATTTCATCCATCAAAAGATTTAAAAAACCTTTTTTTGTAACCTTTTTGACTTTCTCCGCCTTTAAATTTCAATGGTCTTCAGTGAATCCAGGAGAACCATCAACAGCCTAATGCCCCTTTGATAAAGTACTGGGACGTGGGAAACAATTGTTAAATTTTTCTCCCACATATGTATAAGCCTTCATACTGGAGAAGCTCAAAGTTAGTGCTAACGCATTTTGTTCTGGAATGATCTTTAATTGCTCTCTTGACCAATTCCTTAGATCCACTTGCAAGAGAAGCCTAAAAAATAAACTAATTTGATCCAAAATAACATATATAAATAAAATGTTTCCTCATCATTAAAAACATTTATGAAAATTACTAGAATTAATTCTTACATCCACAAGTATAACTGTACTTTTTATAAAAGAGTTATTTTTTATATATCCTATCATACTATTTAAATATTCCAATCTATACTTTGTAAAAAATAATTCCCCTAAGTTTTTCAATTATATTTTTTTTTGGCATAGAATCTTCTTTTGCTTGATTATATGAGAAAATATCTTATTTGACTTCAACAAACCTTCGTTTTTCTTTTTTAAGTTCTCTTTCCCTTTCAGAAGGAGTTAATGTATAGATAAATGGGAGCCTACAGATATTGTGGTTTTAGGTGATGAGTTTATCAAATTTTAAACAATTTTTTGTCTTTTAAAGAGAGTTAAAGAGTGAAGTTCCCAGTCTTGCATATTTTCGTACAAATGAAATGTACATAAAATGTATTCTGCAGATTTTTAATGATATACATTTAATTAAATTTCCAAAGTACCAAAGGCTATTATTACCAGCACAAGTTTGACTTTTAAAAATATAAGAGCTAATCATACTAGCCTTCTTTCTTTTCTAACTACGAAATTTCCAATGTTGGGAACTGCAGATAAGGGCATATTTTCTTTACCGTTGTTTTTTGTAGGCCTATAAATAATAATGTAATAATAATAATAATATACAGGGTGTACCAATAAAAACTCCCAGGTCGGATATTTCGGTAAGTAATAGGGATATTTTAATTGAGCATTAATAGCATTTCTAACAACACATGTCTGTGTTCACACCATTTTTAACTGAACATTATTATAAAGGTAGCAATCGATTAATAAAAGGATCTATACCAAAATCTGTACCTGTACCTACTTTGCTATGGAAATTAGTTTTTTTCCAAATAAACTGTAAATAATTGTAATTCGTTATTCATATTTGTAGCTAATTTTGTTAAATACTAGACATATACAGGGTGTACCAATAAAAACTCCCAGGCCGGATATTTTGGTAAGTAATAGAGATATTTTAATTTTGTAAAAGCCAGTTAATAGAGCGCTAAGAGGGCTTCAGTTTTAGATATAAATTGATTTTATTTACAGATGTCAAAAGCATATTTTAATTATTCTAATATATAGGGTAATGTTTTTGAGGTCACTGGATTCAACCCTCATGTCAGATTGGACAAATTGACCATTGACAGCTGTCAATTCACGGTCAACGAGGAATATAAAAGTAAATTTCCACATCTGTCAACTACTGTCAACTGTCATTTTGTCCAATCTGACATGAGAATTGAATTCAGCGACCTCAAAAACCCAAACTCTCAATGTGACAAGAGTATATTTACTTTTATATTCCTCGTTGTCAGTCAATTGACAGGTGTCAACTGTCAATTTGTCCAATCTGACATGAGAATTGAATTCAGCGGTCTCAGAAACCCAAACTCTCAATGTGAAAAGAGGATATTTACTTTTATATTTCTCGTTGACAGTGAATTGACAGCTATCAACGGTCAGTTTGTCCAATCTGACATGAGGGTTGAATCCAGTGACCTCAAAAACATTACCCTATATATTAGAATAATTAAAATATGCTTTTGACATCTGTAAATAATATTGAAAATGAATAGTTTTGCAACGGGTCAGTGGAGCTTTGGCAGCTTCGTAGCTGCCAAAATATTCATTTTGGCACTTTGTGCCCATGGAGACTTTTGTTCAGGATAACAAAATCTACAACATATCAAAAATTTAGACTATTTGACAGAAACCCAATTTCCATAAGATTATTGCGGGGTCCTTTCGAATTCATGCGGGAATATGTGGCCTTCTACAACTTGTATTTTAATATACTATTAAAACTAATGCCAACCCACCAAAAGAAAAAGAAAAACAATTAATTCCTAGGTTATATATCTACAATAAGTGATTTGTTATATTCCATTTTAAACAAAATAAGTCAGTTTTTGTACTTCTTACTTCTTGAAATAAAAATTAATTGTTTAGGGGAAAACACAAAAAAATCACATTCTGGTAACACCTCTGGTAATCGTCATCTTTAACAGCTCCGCGTTTTGAAAATTATTTTCGCTCGATTCGCTATAAAAGCCTTTCGCATCTATCGCATTCTAATCTTCGAATTAGCACGCGCTTTGGAACTCCAGAGAATGAGTAATTCCTTACTTAAAAGTAAGGTATATCGTTTTCGTCGTGTCGAGAATCAGATTGTCAGTGAATTGGATTAAAATATTACCAGCGGATTTGAATGGTGTCCCTCGTACACTGGGGAATACAGCAGGTGTAAACGTTCTCAAGTTAGCTATATTTCAACCATTTAACTCGGATAAATATACTTTGTGGTTTTGTTGTGTTAAATAAGAGCATAACTAAGAAATTTCTGTAAAATATTTGATGTAATAAAAGTAAATCACTTTCAGACTAAAAAATCGACACACTCTTGTTAATATATGGAAATTTTCGTATGACGTCATAAAATTTGGAAATAACAATATTGGGATGGGGTACAGAACATTTTAAAATACATAGTAGTTGAGAGGGATATTTTTGTTTTTTGTGACAAGGATTTTTAACACGCTTATATTAGCTTCACCTGTATGTATGTATGTATGTTTGTAACTCTCCTTTGGACTCAAGTGGCTTATTACTGTCAGTATATCCCACTAAGTCAAGTTTGTCCGTTGGCCGAGCGGTCTAAGGCGCGGGTTTTCGATTGCCAGACTCACCGATCGTGGGTTCTAATCCCCACGGATGAAAAAAATAATTTTTTTTTCAGCAATTTCAACTTACATATATTTTTTTTTAATAATTAATCGAACTAAAAAGTAAAAAATAAATATAGTTTAAAAAAACTAGAAACACGCTTTTATAATACATCCAACTAAAAAGTGAAAAATAAATATAGTTTAAAAAAACTAAAAAAGACGCTTTTAGAGCATATCAAACTAAAAGTTAATAAATATAGTTTAAAAAACTAAAAAACACGCTTTTAGAGCATATCAAACTAAAAAGTTAAAAATAATTTTTCAAATAAGCTTAAAACAATAATAAATGGAAAATTCTAGTATTATTGTGAAAAAAGCGTCGGGCGCTCGATGTATGAGAAAGATGGATAAAGCGCAGTATCTCTCTCCCACTCGATAGGATTAAAAAATAGTGTCTAACAAATTTTCACTTAATGACGTAATTCCTGTCAGTTGGCGAAGTCCATTCAACAATAACAAGGGGAGTACGGCGCCCTTTCACGCATAAGAACTAACCAATTACCTGCTTCAATGTCCACTGTACACTTTGTTCTCTACGCTACACACTCCAATTTCGAACGTTGAACCGTCAACATGCGATTGTAGTAGGAAGACAAAGTTCTCGTTAATCGCTGTGATCGCATCCTATTTGACCTTCAACCCACTTACTTCGTCTAATATAGAATAACTATAAACATGTAGTCTTGAATTTCTTACAGGCATGTAAATAGTTTATTTAAAAGAAGTATACATATGTATATAATTATAGTGCAATTCATTTGTTTTCAAATTTGCAAATAAACTAATGTAGCCTTTGATTTCATGGAGGTATGATTACAGTTCATCTACACCGGCTTCAGCCGATAAATAAACAGGAGTTTTAATCTTCAAAAGGTCACAAACATAATATAGAAAATTTAATAATAGAAAATCCAACGATAGAAAATCCAGCAATAGCAAATCTAACGTTAGAAACTCTAACGAAGAAAAATCTGACGATGGTAAGGCCCGTATTTATAAACAGATCTCAGCTGAGTCGGACTTGGGTGAGTCGCCATTAAACGAAAATCGAAGTTCGGTTACATCTCTAAAGTTCTAGGTGGTTTCTGTGTTACACTGGAATGTAAATATGAATAGTAGCAAATCTGTAACTATTAGGTACATTTACGGATTTGTTACTACGCATCTCTAAATTCACACGATATTACCAAACTTCGATTTTCGTTCAAGAAAGACGCAGCTGATTCGGACTTGGCTGGGATCTGTTTATAAATACGGACCTAAATGTAATATAAATAAGCTTAAACAAAATTTTCTTTTCTAGATAAATGGCTTCTTTAATTTTAGAAAAAGTAGCAATAGTGGTGTTTTTTTGGACCGTTGTACTAAGCAATCAAGAATTTTTGGAGGTGAGTACATTCTTATTTTTCTTTTAACCCGCTTTATCATTTTTATACTAAAACATTTGTTAGTGACAGATTCGTGTTAATCTGAATGTTGTTGAGGTATGTTTACAAAAATAGTTGCAAGCAGAGAAGTAACACATTTATTGCTGCTACTAGTATTTAATTATAAATAAGATCGCCTCAAGTGACAAGGTTTATTCTAACAACGATCAAAAACAGTATCTTACTGTCAAGATGACTTTGATGCTCTGTAACAACCAACTTGCCTAAAGACCATTTGTAACTACTGATAGATATTTAGCTACTGTTGTTAATATACTATTAAGGGATTAGGGCAGCGCCGTCACCAGCCAAAGGGTCCTGGAGTCCAGAAGGAATATCCATTCACCAGTGGCAAATAAAAAATAATAAAAAAATTAAATTAAAAGAATAAAAATTATCCCTTAATAGCATAGTCAAGCGGTTCTTGGCCACTAGTTTTAGACTCTTTTAGTCTTAAGGGCGGCCGAGGCTTCTCAAATGCTCGGAGTATTTTACTGGTTTGGCAAGGGAGGAGAGATTAATAATAAGTATTAAAACATTAACAAATGTATATTAACAATAAGTATAAAATTTGACTAATAGTCTTAAGAAAAAAATGAATAAAATTCCATTTAGGGAATAAAGCACTATAACTACATAATAATATAAAAATATGCATAAGATAAATATGATAATTCGAAACGAAAATGTAAAATTGGCATTTATATGTAAATCAATCATTATTAAACAAAGCACTTTAAAATGAAGTTAAAAATATTTACCCATAATTTAAAAATCGTACACAAAACTTTAATCTACACATCACGTTGTTTTGGGACTTAAAAAAGATCCCAAAAAAACGAGAGGTCTGGACCTTAGTTTGCATTCTCTTGGGAGTGTTTACTCGAGCGCCTTTCTTTTTATCTCCTCTCTATATAAAACAAAATTTACGTGATGGTTGTGTTTTAAAAAATGTCACGCTCAATGTAGCCAGTGACTAGATCAATAACCTGATTGTTTGACTAATAATAATGCCAATTATTACAGCTCAACTAGCAGTAATTTCAACGTTCAACCACTTAATTTCAAAATGATTTAGTGAGGTTATGTTATATTTAATACATAAATAATGAAATTACTGTATCACATATATTTGGTAAAGTAGTATAGAGTAACAATTTGAAATTATATACCACAAACCATGGTTAACATTGACTGAATCTAAACTGGTTTTGTCGAAAGAGCTAATATAGCTTAAGTGATGTATTACAATTGCCTTTATTTAATATAATTTTACTCTTAAAATAATCTCCTAACACGTATTTATTTAAAAATATTGCAAGGCATTTCTAAAAATAAAATTAGTGTCAGCAAAATTGAAAATAAAGTTATAAAAGTTTAACAAAAATGTTTTCTAAAGTCTGTATAAATGTGGAAGTAACTATCCTGTATCTGCATTCAACAAACCTTGTATAATTTACAAATGAATTAAATAGTTCTATATTACTCCGCCGATATCGCGTTCATAGAATGTTTTGGAAATATCAGTTAATATTCTAATTTATAAATTTTGTTTTTAAACATTCTTTTAGCTTTTAAAAAATATCAAATTGTTACTTGTGTGGTGACTTTTTGAATAGGAACAGGCATGTGATTTACGGTTGCTAGTCCTTTATTGCCAGTTCTATATTCCCGCTCTTTTTAGATCATCAGTAATATTTTATTTTAATGAGCGTTATATTACACCTGTTCTTTATAAATCTATCAGCAATTTTATCTAAAACTTACATTATTTCACTATCCACTAAACATGTATCATTACCAGTCATGTAATGTTTTTTATAGGCACTTTTCTTGGTATATTTTTAACACGGTACTTAAATACCCCATAGATGTTTAAAATTTAACATCATGTTCCGTATCATCCCTCGCATATGTCGAATTAATTGATGTCCCATGTACGCAGAAATATTTGCAGGTATATAAACATATGTTGTACTTATTTTTAGTTAATTCTGTGACAAATATTTATGCGATGTTATTTTATATAACTTCCAATAATGTCGCATAGAGGTCAGCCCAGTAATATGTTCATGTTACACGTTTTTAAGACGACTATCTCTAGTCTTTACACCGCAAACCTAACAGTCCAGGAAGGAGCACCCACAATATTTCGGAGTTCTTTATTCTGAAATTTTTAAATGATATCCACATTAGTTGGTTTTACACAACCCTAAAGCTGAACACCATAAGTCCATACAGGTCTTAAGACTGGCTTATGCCTAGTCTTCAACAATATCCTATCCCACGTGACCAAATCGTCATGACCACTGATCTGTATTATTTTACTGGATAGGATATAGGCTATATTTAACATACTAAAAAATCTGATGTGTCCAACACATGACTTTCCTATCTAGTTATTATAGGCTTTTTCCGGTTATTTTGTACAACCTATTGCAGCATCTCTATAAATGTTTAGAGGATAAACTAAATATATACATTGTCCACATACATCTACCTCGAAACATTTTTCTATAGATATTCATGGAAAACGAAAATACTGAAAAATTAAAATTTCCTACAATTTTTTCATTGCGGTCCATTTTAGAAAAATCATGTATAAACAAAAATTATAGAGATCGATATCGCAAACAACTTTTATTTCAAAAACTTTCATAAAAATCAAAATTTTGCACATTTTGTCAAATTTCTCGAATACGGACCATTTCAGGAAATTTTTACATAAAACAAAAATTATAGATAATAATATTAGAAGTAACTTTTATTTGAAGAATTTTTTTTTCCAAACATTAATAACAGATATATTCCATAAAATATAAAAGTGGCCTCCCATAAAGTACCCCCCCCCCCAGATGTTCCGACTATGTCTAAAATCTAATTATTTTACGTCAGGCCGAAATAAACCTTAAGTTTAAAATTTAATGTTTTTTTCTTTATCCGTTTTTGAGTTTTCTTCAAAATTCGAAATTTACACATTTTCTCAAATATCTCGAATACGGTCCATTTTAAAAAAATTATGTATAAAATAAAAATTATAGAGAATTATATTACAAACAACTTTTATTTAAACAATTTTTATAAAATTTTTTTTTTTTACATTTTGTCAAATTTCTCGAATACGGACCATTTTAGGAAAATTTTGCATAAAACAAAAATTATAGACAATTATATTAGAAGTAACTTTTATTTGAACAATTTTCTTCTCTGGTCGTTTGCGAGCGGCCATATTGCCTGGCAAATATTTATTAATTTGAATCAGTTTAGCAAAAATGTGTTTTAAAACCAATTGTCAGCCTTTAGATATTTAAAAAATAATGACTGCTTACATTTTTACATCAAGGCATAAGCTTATGTTTATTTTGAAAAATATGGATGACCAATCTATGTAACTATCTATTTCATTGACCTTGTCAAATCACGAGGCCTACAGGGTTGCCATAATTTTGCCATATCATAACCTGTCAAAACCCACTGGTAGTCATTCAGTTTGGAATATTAGGCATTCCAACGACCTGTCAAACAATAGGTGCCAGTGGGAAATTCTTGTATATTTAAGGGGGTAGCGACATAATCTTGCAACTTGAACGCTATTTTTATTGGAAGTAGTAGTCGCCAAGCCTGCCAATTTATGAAGAAATGTATAGGTGGGTTTTTTAAACATTATTTTTATTGTGTTTGACATAAAATATTTAAATGTTATCCATTATTCATGATTTTACGTAAAGTAGATAGAATACACCGTATGTCGCCACCCTTAGATATACCAAACCTGCCCACTGGTAATTCATTTGTCTGGAATGCCTAATTATTTGCCCAAATCGGCCAATTTTTCGGAACGTTTTTTAGGGATCTATATCCTATCCAGTAAAATAATACAGATCAGTGGTCATGACAGAAAAATTCCTAGATGTTAGTTAGTGACGTGGTATTTTATTACACAATAGATCTTCTTTTTTGTGGTCTCTGTCCATAAGAGCAGTTAAATTTAAGAATAACAAGAAAAAATCATATAAATAATTAAAGTTACTTTACATTATTATATTTTTGTTAGAATTCGATACTTTTAGTTCCATTTAATCGAATTTAAAATCTCAACTTTAAAGTTTTAATTTTACCCCAATTTGACTTTAACCTTAAAAACAGACTTAACTGAAAATGTTCACAATTACAAAGAAAAATATTTACCAAAACAGGGCGGAATAAAGTTTTAGAACAGACAGATAATAAAATTCTAGTATTTAATAAACTAGCTGTAGACAGAAAATAGTGAAATCAATAATGATTTTTTTTCTTATTACTTGATAATAAATTTAATAAAAAGGTATTGACAAAATCCAAAAAAATCTATGAATTATAAATATATCCAAATGAACTCCAGTAATATATTTTACAGTATTGATAACGACAGTTAACAGAAAACCAAATGAAGCCCTTTTGATGCGTTTTATGTTGTTTCCAGTCCACATGGGATTTGAGTATTGTTGAAGACCCTTTAGATGAGCAATTTGGTGTGTAGTGAAAATTTCTATTTGCTATCAATTAACGAGTAGGTAGATTTTTTATATTTCACATCTAACTTTTCTGTTCTTCTTGATGTGCTCTTTTCATCTAAACTTGTGCTCTTTCCATCTAAACTTAGCATTTAAATTAATTCCAAGGTACTTGGTAGTATTTTTATTTGTGAAATTTTTATTAAAAAATATGTGCCAAATTCATAACTGTCTTGTTGTAACTTTTCAATGGCTTTATTTTCATTTGTTCCTATTACTAAAATAGCAGTGGCATCAGCAACCATTAATTATTTCTGATATACCGCCGGAAAATATTAGATACAAAATAGAACCAAGAACGCTCTCGTGTGGTACTCCTGCTTTAGTTTATTTTAACTTAGATTATTCCTCCTCTTTTTTATTTTTCTAAAATCTATCTATTTTGTATGATTTGGGAGCATTTGTTCA